GCTAGGAAATCTGCAAGCGCTTGTCCTTTTATTGCCTTTTAAGGTACAAATGCAATTTCAAACTTTGTTAATAGTACAGACCAACATGCAACTCTTCTTGACAAGGATGGTTTGGACATCAAGTATTTTAAAGGTTCAACCTTTGATATCAGCTTTATATGATGGGCAAGTACGTAATGCCGTAATTTTTGTACTGCAAAGATTAATGCTAGACACAATTTCTCAATATGGTAATAGTTGTGTTCTTCTCCCACAAGCGTCCTACTGAGGTAGTATAAGGCATTTTCTTTTCCATCATCATGCTTTTGAGCTAGCATTGCCCTTAGAGAGCGCTCGAGTGCCGCAATATATTAAATTAGGGGCTTTCTTTTTATAGGAGTCATTAACACAGGAGGTTTTGATAAATACCCCTCAACGCTTTCAAAAGCATTCTAGCATGCTTGATTCCATACAAAAGGCACATCTTTTTTCTTTAGCCTTGAGAAAGTTTGACATCTTCCTAACAAGTTTGAAATAAACCTCCTTATGTAGGCTAATTTTGCTTGCAAACTACGTAATTCATGTAACTTGCAAGGAGTAGTTATTTCTATGATTGATTTTATTTTGGTGGGATCGATTTCAATACCTCGGTGCCTGGCGACAAAGCCAAGGAACTTCCCAGAAATTTCCCCTAACACACATTTTAAGGGGTTCATTTTGAGTTGATTCTTTTTTAGTCTATCAAAGACTTTTTTGAGTCCACTCAAATGGTGCTACCTTTTATTAGCTTTAACAACCAAATTATCCACATAACATTCAACTATGTTGTAGATAAAATCATTGAAAATTATTCTCATGGCTCTTTGATAAGTAGAATCTTCATTTTTCAATCCGAATGGCATTACTATGTAACCGTAAATTTCTTTCGAGGTATGGAATCCAGCGAGTTCCTCATCTTAAAGTGCCATTTTTATTTTATTGTAACCTAAGAAGTCATCCATTAAAGATAAAGTGCCAAACCTCATGGTTGCATCCACCAGTAGTTTGGTAATCAGAAGTAGGAATTCATCTTTAGAACATGCATCATTTAGATCCCTGAAATCTATACAAATGCACACTAGTCCACTCTTTTTCTTAATAAGCACAATATTTGAGAGCCAAGTGGGATATCAAAATTGCTGAATAAAATCAGCACTTATCAGCTTAACCACTTCAACTTCAATTTGCACAATTAGCTCTGGCTAAAAACAACGTTAACCTTGCTTTACAGGTCATTTATTGTTTGATACAACCAGTCGATGTACTGAAATTTTGGATCTATTATTAGCATGTCTTGATAGCCCAAAGCAAAGACATCTCAATATTCCTGAAGAAGGTGCTCATACTCATTTAATTCGTCTTGAGAGAATTGAGCACTGACAAAGATGGGTTTAGGATCATCAATTGTACCAAGATTTTTTTCTCAGAGCTCATCAACAGTGACCTATCCTCGTTCTTCAATTTGTGTAGGTGCTAGTTGAACATTATTTATGAACTTTGGGTCATCTTCTAGTATGGAATTGTCTTCCTCTTTCATATCCAAGGAATCTTATGTTTGATTTTCTTCAAAGGAAGCGAAATTGACTTGTGAAATCCCTTCTAGATTTTCTTCTACTTTAACTTCCTCAACATTGAAAAACTGAAACTCAATGCTTTTCACCACCCTCCTCTTCAGTGAACATAGCTTGTTCTTTAGTAATGAAAATTATTGCCTTAGAAAAAAAAGTCTTGGGGATGTCATTTTTCTGGGCATGTCATTACTTTCTTTTTCCCTTTTTAAAGAAAATTTTGCTCTTTTGGGGTCCCAAATTCTATGGAGATGATGATAAAGGAAAATCCAGCGTTCTCTCTTTAAAGAAAACAAATCTCTTCATCTTACTTTCATACTCTCCAAATGTGGTTGAGATTACAATATCTTTAGGGATTGATTGATTTATCCTTCAAAGAGGACATGTGTAACTTATAGTAAGTGATGACATTGTATCTCAAACTGGAGTCAAAACTTCTTCTTTTAATTTTTCTTGCTCGTTCGGTACATATTTCAAAAACAATCCTTCCTTCAGTGCCATTGACACTTGACCTTTTTGGACCTTTTTAGGAGTTGTCTCAAACAACTTTTGAATTTTTTGAAGACTGAGAAGTTGATGGTTTGGAGCTACTCTCATGCCTTGTTATAGCTTCTTTATTATTTTGACCATCAGCAGAAAAATAAGAATTTGTCATTTTATAGAACTTGGCGTCAGCATAGTTCACTTCTTCACTACCAAATGGATTCAGGCTTGCCACATTTAAAAAACTTGAAAACTTGGTGGAGTGTGGAGGGAATTACACTTGCAACCATGGACGTCCTCATAAGGCATTGTATGTCCTATCAGCATATATGACATGGAAGATGACCTCCATGTGAAAATAATTGATTTCAATCTTCACTTCGATAGTGCCTAGGGCTCTCTGGCCTACTTGTTTAAAGCATTGAATTGTAAGCATGGTTGGTGACAAACGTTTTCCTGACATACCTATGGCATGAAATGTCTTTAGAAGATGTAGATTTATAGGTGAACCACAGTCAACCAAAATTTGATTCACTTGATTGTCTCCAATTATGCCAATGACATAAAGAGGATGGTTGTGATATTCCACCCTTAGCTGATGATCACCATCGGTGAAGGTAATGCAGGCCATATATGAAGAACATACCTTCAATGAGTGTTGAGCATCTATTGGTTCAACATTATCAATATAGACATCGGAACTTGTCAATGCTTGAATCAAAGCCTTTCTAAGCTCTCTAGACAACTTTAGAGCAACATACACACTTAAAAGTGTTGGTGCCCCTTGGTTACCTCAAGTCTTATTAGCTTCCCCATTTTCAGATACTTCTTTTGTTGCTTGACATTGAGGACTCAAAGATGAGGGTTCTACTGCCTTTTTATTTGGTCGAGATTTTTGGAGGTGATGGAAGGCGTCGACCAGAACGTAAGGTAAGCTTATCGACCTCAGGGTCAAATATATCACCTTCTTCGCATATGGTTGTGTAGCATGGCATCACCATTTCTTCTTCAACGCCTTCATCTTTGAAGAATTCTAGGGGTAAATACTCCTCAAGAGTAATTGGTACTCTCTTAGGCTAGATGTACTCATCCTCCAAACGGACTTGAGTTTTCTTTTGAGTCTTCTTTTTCTTTTCATTGCTTTTCTTCTCCGTCTTGTTCCCGCAAAACTTTATTCCAGGGCGTCTTGGAGGCTTCACTCTAGGGGATAGAGTATTTGTCATTTTTTTAGTCCTCTTGCTGACATGTGTTTGCACTCAACTCCACTTTCATCTCCTGATTCACAAGAATTGCTCCAATAATCCAAATTTGGTTTTCTTATAAGCTCAAAAACAATTGGAATTGTTGGCTTTTTTGAACAGGGTATGTCCGAGTAAGCACACTAATAGGTAACCTCACCATTGACAACGAAAGCAATTAGGATTGCCCCCTTTGGTAGCAAGATATTGGGGATGGACTTGTTTTATACTAGGGAGATATTATTTGAAGTTGTAGCAACAGAGGACTCTTGTATTTCAATGTCTCCCTTATTCACCATTGCTTGAATGATATTCCTGAGGACATAACAATCCTTCTAAGAATGACTACCAATCAGATGGTACCGAAAAAATTTTGGATCATCGGTCTTGTTAACCTCGGACGGTCGCTTAGGCTCCAGTAATTCTATTGTCTTAGCCTTTAGCAATGAGTTGAAAATTTCTTCCACATCATCATCTTTGAAAGTGTAGTTCACCTCTTTTTTTTTCTTTTAAAGAGGGATTTCTGGTAGTTTCTTTCCCATTTTTAGGGACTTCCTTTCCTGTTCCATTTTCTTTGCTCTTATTGACATTAACAAATGTAGGCATGGCCTCACCTTTCTTTGTTGGCTTCTTACTATCGAACTTCTTCTCTTCAGTCATTCGGGACTTTTGAGAAAAACCTCTTCAATAGTTTGTTGTTGTATGATTGAGAAGCTCTCTCTTATGTGTTTTAACACCTGTTAGCTGGTGATTCTGTTCCAGTTTTGTGGGTATTTTTAGGTGGTTCTCAAAATTAACCATGAAAATATTCTAGTGACTGAGTTCAATTATATAGATTTCAGATTGTTGTTTTCAGCCAATTGCTATGGTGTCTTAACTTGTTTATGGTCATTGACGGATATAATAAGACTAAACATTGCGTAATATTTGTCAGATGTGCAATTTTTCCATGCTCATTCTATAACCACTTTTGTGGGAATCAGCTAGCAGGTGGTTTTTTTATTCGAAGTTTGTTATATGGCTTTCCTGGTATATTTCAAGGTTTTATGGCAGATAATATTGCATGCAACCTCTTTGTATTGAATGGGGATTGTTAAGATGCACTTGAATTATGTGTATCAGACTTCAATATCCATGAAATAACTGATGTAGCGTACCTCTTTGTATTGAAGGGCCATACCTTCACATGTAAAACAATTATATAGTCTCCACGATGTTTGATGAAAGGTCCTTGGTCCTAAAGTTATTGTTAGAGCTGATTTATTTATTGCGTGTACTTGAAGTTTGCCTTTATATAGTTGAATTTTATAATGGATAATTATTTGTGCACAAAAAGTGTGCATCAAATTATTGTTAGTCATTGGATGATAGTGGGTCCCACTAAGCCGGCTAGCAATGTTTTAGGGCACACTTTTGATACACAAATTTGATGTGCATAACATTGTTCTTTGTAATTATAGATACTGTCGGACAAAAGTCATATTTGTTCAGAAAAATATTTTGTACAGTATCATCCTCCCCTCTTACTGTACTTATTTATACAATGTAAAGTTTTTATACATATAAATCTGATAGAATACACATATACTGACCAAACTAACATACACAAATAATTCAGACTAAGGTATATAATTAAAATCCGTGTGATGAAACCAAAAGTGAGGTAGATTAGATCTTCATAGTACTTCTCATCTTACTTCCACAAGGCCATAGCCATAGAGATCAGTGTGATGCTTATCCAATGGAATCTTCCTGGGAGAAAAGAGGTGGCTGCAAAACAAGAAACCATTTAGATGAAATTTAGCTGTGATATTTACGATAAAACCCATTATACTATCCAGTTTAACGGGCACCCATTAGTTTTTCCCTCAATACTAATGGCCAAACATGATAACTAAATATTTTAATCAAAGTGTATAGTTGTGTACGCACGTGAATAGTTTTACACAAAAAGTAATAAAACATATTGAATATAATTTCAAATTTTGCAAACTTAATTTTTCATTTCTCGTATTCTATTGTAGGATTATGAAAAATTTGTATGGTCTCAAAAATCTTTTGTTCTAACTATAAGGAAAAAGATTTGAAAAATAGTTAAAGTTCTATTTTTTTAGAATTTTGTGATTGAGATTTAATTTTAGTGATCTTTGAAAAATTAAATTTTTTGAAATTCATTTTATTAGGATTCCACTTATAATTTCTTAAATAAAATAAAACTATTTATCAATATACTAATCATATAGAACTTTATTCTAATTAGGAATTGGAATAAAATTTAATATACTACCCTATAATATATATTATCAAACATATTAAAATTCTAAACAATTCAAGATTTACTTAAACATACACTAAAATATCTATTTTCACATAAAATTTTAATACACTTTAGAAGGTTTATTATGACTGAGAATTTTATTGATGTGATATAAATTAATTTTAAAAAATTGTATATACGATTATTTTTTATCTTAATAAAACAGAAAATACACTTATGTAGTCATAATATTATTTTTACATATGAGATAAGTAATATCAGATTGATAGAGTTTTTGAAGGCTTTTTGAATATTTTATTAAAAATATAATGATGCATTTTGAAACTTACTGTAATTAAGAATTAGCTAGGTGAATTCAGATAAGATTTAATATACTACTCTATAATTAATATATATATATATATATATATATATATATATATATATATATATATATATATATAAATTTCTAAAAAAAATAAATTTTACTTTAAAATACACTATAATATCTATTTCCACATAAAATCTTTATACATCTTAAAAAATTTGTTGTGGATGAAAAATTATACTGATGTTACGTAAATTGATTTTAAATAATTTTTTATCTTAGAAATGAAAGGATTAAACTTTTCGATGAAAGAGAAAATACACATATGTTGGTATAATGTTATCTTTGCCTATGAGATTTAAATACATAAGTATATGATGATAATTTAGATATTTAATTGTGAAATGATATCTAAATGCTAATAAAAACAAACATTGTTCGAAGAGTGTAATAAAACCCAAAAAAATAAAATTTGGAGGGCATTTGTCTTTCAATTCTAAACTGTCACATTCCTAATGGAATTACACTTAAGTTCATGTAGAGTTATATAATTATCGTTCTAACAAACAAGTTTTATTTTAGAAAATATCTTTGTTTAGTGGGTCTCAAAAAATAAATAAAACCTGCTACGGTGCTTCATTTGTATTGGTTATAACTTATCACTTTCATCTATCAATTTTAAATTTTTTTCAATAACTTCTTTCATAACATTGATAGAAAATACAACGTGCACACCACGAAAAAATAACACATTGCTTTTCTCATCCAAAACTTACTTCTAGCAATTGAAGCATACAATCGACAAAATTTTAAGATGATGTCCTAAAGTGAAGATCGATGAATTTGATAATATGAAGTGTTACCATATTTTTTGTATATATATTTTATATCTTTTGGGAGGAGAGTTCTAGAAGATGTCAATGTTTGACCAATTAAACCCATATTGCTGATATGATTTTGTTGGCAACATATGTGCGTTTGGTATGAAATAAATGTTTCTCACCTTGACTATTCCCATCAGAAGGTGAGGGTGATGATGACTTAGATACCTCGATTCCAAGCCTTGCGCAATCAGATCCAATTGCACCTGAAGCAAACCAAATGTTAGAACACATATCACTGAGAATCTCTACACACTTTAAATTTATTATATTTCACATCCTCTAGAGTTTACATTGGTTCTCACTATAGTTAGTAAAATTCCAGTTAGATCAGTTTCGTCTTCTATAGTTCGCCATACAACATGAATACTACCAAAAATGGCATGTGTATATTATGTGTAGTGTACATAAGTTCTTAGAAAAATAACATATGAATATCACGTAATTCAGATTTCCTCAGTTACAATTTTGTTCAATTTCATGTAATGACAAATCATCCATCATTTATGGGTGAGGGACTCCCTTATAAATAGTGGGTCCTATCTGAATTCGTGATTACTGATCTATTATTGAGTGAGATAGACGAAAAATATAATGGGGATAACTTGATTCTACATCAAGTGACTAATCAATATAAACCCTATAGGTAAAAAGTGCAATATTAGTCCTAAATTTATTCAGCCATGTAGGTCTTACATTCACTGTAGCAAGGGTAGAAACTGATATTCATAAGATTTTGATAACCCGGGTTGCATTGGCATGTATGTGTATATGTGGCATTCTTTTTGCATGAACCTTCTCCACAATAGATCCAGTTGCAAGCTGTAAAATAACCAATATAAAAAAATATATAAGAAATCTAATTTATCACAAATATTTTGGGATATATATGTTTAGATACATCTATGTATGTATATGTAGCTGATGGGTGGTGATTACAATCGAAGAATGATGAGTTGTTTGGAACGGAGGGCGCTGGAGGGGCAGCTGGCATGCAGGAGTAGTCAAGACTACCTGCAAAAATGAGAAAAAATACACGTTAATAGCTACTCCAAATTGTTGCGTACTAAAATACAATTAAGAATATAACATATAATGAGTCACTTCACAGAATTTCACAAAAAAATAAAATTTATTAAAGGATCGTTGACTTGATAATCGAGAATGTTAGGAAGGTTAAACTTTAATTCAACTTTCATCTACAACAAAATAAACTTGCAAAGGTAAGACCGCGATGACTGAATCGGTGAAAATTGTCAAAATTTGATATTCAAAATATAAAAAACATGGTACATAAATATATGGATCTGTTTATTATTTATTCTTATATCCACAATTATTTGTACAAATTTCTAATTAATTGCCTTACTTTTTATTCAAAACATTTAATTTAGTTAGGCAACTTCACTTGGGCAATACCAAAACAATTTGTGTAGTTTTTTTTTTCTATTTTCTTTTTAGAGTTTTAAAATCAACCAAAAGGAGAAGAAAGAAAATTGGAGAAAAAAAAGAGCAGGGATCGTACAGTTTGGAACTATGCAAGGAAGAAACTGAAGATTTTCTTCGTTGTCAAGACGGGTTCGCTTCCAGCCAGCGTCGCATTCACATACGAAGTTAAACGGAGACCCAATTGCTGTCTTGCAAGTTCCTTTCCCACACTCCACTTCATTGCATAGGCTGTCTGTCAATCAACACAACACTTCTCAATATCTAAATTTGTGTGCGTGTGTGTGTGTGAGAGAGAGAGAGAGAGAGAGAGAGAGAGAGAGAGAGACCACTGATAGGAGAGGGAGCAGGAGATATATGATCATCTGCTTTTGCAATAACTGCTAGTAGAACCAGAATTACAGCCAAAGAAGCCATTAAATTGGAGGAAGCCATGGTTTCAGCGACTAATAACTAGTAAGAGGATGAGAGGGGTGGTGAAGATGAAGGTAAATTATACCTTGCGGGTATATATATAAGCATCGAAAGCTTGAACTTTTCTTCATCCATTAGAAGCTTCTACAAATTTGAGAAAAAATACATTTCAAAGCTTTACAATTGCTGGCCGTATACGTTGAGAATCACTAGTCAATTACCTATACAGTTTCTTTGTGTTTGAACCTTTCATCTCCCTGACCAAAACAAAAAACTTTCCTCTCCCCTTCCGGTCTGTTTTGAAAAGTCCGCAATAACAAAAAAGCAATACTATTTAAATTTAATTTATTAACTTAAACACTACTTGCTCTTAGATTGACCGAGGGTAATTTGGTTTTTGAGACCCGTTACTAATTCAATGATTTTTTTAAAAATTAGATCAAGAATTATAAATTCAATGTTAGGGTAATGGCGGGGTGACAGTGGAGAGAGATTATAAATTCTTATTCATCACATGAGGCGATCAATTGAGATTATAAATAATATTCCAGATTTTCTTTCATTGGTAGTTTTCTATCAATTTGTAGAAAAATAAGCAAAGTCATTGTGGTCCGTTCCCTGCCGTCATGGAAGCTTCGAACAAGTCTGATTTGAATGGGGAGAATACATGTGATTTATCAACCACTTTACATTTTAATTTTTGTTACTAAATTAACATATTTATAAGTAATTCCCTTGTAATGTTACGTCGGGTTGGGATACGGGTGGCGATGACGATGAAGATGAAGTGTGCTTATGGGGTTAATTTGAGCTGAAAGGCTCTAGGGAATAATGTTTTCTAGGGGAGAGAGGTGGATTGCAAATGGAGTTTGTTGCTCTTGAAATTTATATTGATGATTATGAGAGGATTACACAGTATTCTTGGTACAATTTTGGTTGTTTTTTTTTTTTTTTTCCGTAGTGAGGACATTGTACAGTATTTATAACCTAATTCCTAATTTTATGGGGTCAGTGGCGAGATCTTTGCTTTCCTTCTGTAATATCTCACTTGATTTCAGGAGATGGTTTTGGCAGCTGAGGATCTTGCATCTTGACTGACACTTACTGCTGTTGAGGGAGCGCTTTGTGGTTGCCTGTTGTCTTCTACTCACCTTCTTCGGGGTGCAGGTCGAGGAAGCCTCAGGTCTGGACCTCTGAGCTCAGGCTCTCTTGGCTGAGCTCCCTTCTTGACCTCAGCATCTGCCCCCCAATCCCTGGTCAAAATGTGTTTGAGCAGGGGCTGAGCTGCGGTTGAGTTGAGTTAAGCCTTCATGTGGTGACCTCGATTTGCGCATGAAAAGACCTTTTTGACAATTTTGTGCAATAATTTCTTCCACGTTTCTCGCTCATGTCCCGTATTTTGAAGACCCACGTACACCAAACTTTAAATGCCTTTGAAATGATCGAAACCCCTCACTTCTTCGTTCGATTTCTCTTTCTGGACTTTACCTTCTTTCTTCCTTGTGATTTTAGCTTCCCCAATCTGCTGACGTTCTTAGGGTTTCACTGAAAATCGATTTCCCTTGATTTGATTTAAAGGCTTTGTGAGGCTTGCTCTTTGATTTCGTTTTGGGCTTTGATTTGTCGCTCTTCCTTGATTAGGTACACTTCTTGGCTTTTGTTTATTTCTTCATTCTGAATCCCTCAAATCCGAGGTGGTTGCAATATTTTTGGACATTCTGTTTTTGCTATTTTAGGAATCGAGGTTATTCCTTGTCTTCCCTTTCCATATTTCTGGACCCTTACTCTACTACTAGAGTCTTCTTGGCTGGTCCCTGATGTCTTGACCCTTTGACTTTCTAGGATTGTTTTTCAGACGTTCCCCCTCTTTATAGCTTTTTAAGACTTCCTTTCTCCTGTCCAGTTATGTCTGCCTCTTCCAAGGCTACAACCTCATAATTATTTAACGAGTATTGTAGATAGAAAATATGAATTTTATAATTTTTTAAATAGTATTATATTAGTTGTTGTCAAATTAAATAATTTTTTATTAACACGAATATTGACACAAACCCGATACGTACCGAAAGTGATATGACACGAAACTAACACGATCGAAAGTGACACGACACGAAAATGATACAACACGACACGATTGACACCCTTACCCTCCATTCTTAAATATGTGACGTTTTACACAATTTTTTTTATTCCATAATATCTGACATTTAATGAAACCAAAACATAATTAATATTTTTTCTTCTAAATTTATCCTTATTCCTGTTTTCTAATAAGTGTTTAATAACTGTACAAATGTATTTTGTTGAATAAGTGTATTTTAGTCTTGTACAATTATTATTTACTTATATTAGAGCTATTTAATAGTTTCCTTAATTCTTGTGTAAAAACCTTAAACGTCACATATTTAGGAATGGAGAGAGTAATAATTATGGTTAAAATAAGAAATCAAAATTTTTTTATTTACTAATAAATGAATTCAAAAAAATTTATAAGCCCTTATAAAAGAGTTCAAAACAAATTAAAAGTCAAATAAGAGTACAAAACAAAAATTAGATAAAAATATATTTATTGGTGGGTATAATTGATTTTATTATAATAATTAGAGATAAAATAAGAAATCAAAAGTTTTTTATAGATGCTAATATTTATAAATAGTAAATAAATATAAATAGATATATTTTATGTCTTATGGGAGGAGGGTTCTAGAAGATGTCACCGTTTGACCAATTAAACCCATAAAACAAAAGTTGCCAATATGAGTTTGTTGGTTGCCTATTTTGAATTTCAGTAACATATGTGCATTTTGCATGAAATACATGTTACTCACCTTGACTATCCTCTGAAGGTGAGGGTGATGACGCTTTAGATACCTCGATTCCAAGTCTTGCACAATCAGATCCAATTGCACCTGAAGCAAACCAAATGTCATGAGATATCTCTGCACTTCAAATTTATTATACTTCACACCCTTTAGAGTTTACGTTTCCTCTTACTCTAGTTAATAAAATTCCAGTTAGACCAGTTTGGTCTTATAAATTTCCTTATACAACGTAGTATAAAATGACACGTGTATATTAATACCACTAATAAAAATACCTTACATGAAAAACTTTTAATTTCTTATAAAATATTATAAAGACTAACATGTCATTTTATATTTAAATATATAAATTACTATTATATCCTTGTATACTTAAATAACAAACTAACCGGTAACATATCATGTAAAATTTCTCTCTTTGCAAATTTTTTAGATGGTCATGTTACTCTTCATAGAATATATAAAAATATTATTCTTTTTTTTCAAAACCGTAATATTAATACACATCGACAACTTTATTGATACAATATTATTTCCAGTGCAAAAAAATCAATATATGTATCTTGTTCTCTTCGTCCACAATACAAAAGTATGATAAATATAAGATAATATCTAATTTAACTATATAATTAAATCTTTCTATACTTTATAAAATACTTTAACGAACACTTTTGTATGCGACGCACGTGTTGGATTACTAGTTATGTAAAGTATACATAACTTCTTAGAAAAACGACATATGGAAACCATGAAATTCAGATTTTCTCAGCTACAATTTTATTCAATTTCATGTAATGGCAAATCATCCATCATTTATGGGTGAGGAACCCTCTTATAAATAATGGGTCCCATTCAAATTCATGATTATTAATCTATTGTTGAGTGAGATTGAGACAAAATATAACGGAGGAGAACTCGATTCTACATCAAGCAACTAATCAATATGAACCCTATAGGTAAAAAGTGCAATATTAGTCCTAAATTTATTCAGCCATGTAGGTCTTACATTCACTGTAGCAAGGGTAGAAACTGATATTCATAAGATTTTGATAACCCGGGTTGCATTGGCATGTATGTGTATATGTTGCATTCTTTTGGCATGAACCTTCTCCACAATAGATCCAGTTGCAAGCAGTAAAATAACCAATATATAAGAAATCTAATTAATCACAAATATTTTGGTATATATAAGAGCGCTGGAGGGGCAGCTGACATGCAGGAGTAGTCAAGACTACCTGCAAAAATGACAAAACAAGATCGATCACTTGATAATCAAGAATGTTAGTTCAACTTTTTTCCACAACAAAATAAACTTGCAAAAGTAAGACCGCAATGAATGAAATCAGACAAAATTGTCGAAATTTGAAATTTAAAAGATCAAAAACATGGTACATAAATATATGGATCTGTTTATTATTTATTCTTATATCCACAATTAATCTGTAAAATGTTCTAATCAATTGCCTTAAATTTTATTCAAAACATTTAATTTAGTAGAGGCAACTTCACTTAGGCAATATCAAAACAATTTATGTAGTTTTTTTTTTTTTCTATTTTCTTGTTAAAGCTTTATCATCAACCAAAAGGAGAAGAAAGAAAATTGGAGAAAAAGAAGAGAACGGATCGTACAGTTTGGAACTATGCAAGGAAGAAACTGAAGATTTTCTATGGAAGAATACATGTGATTTACCAACCACTTTACATTTTAATTTTTGTTATTAATTTAGCACATTAATAAGTAATTTCTTTATAATGTTAGGACGGGTTGACATATTGGTGGCGTTGACATGAGATGATTGCTACGTTAATTACAAATTGTACCCTGAAAGATTTCTCGAATTTTAATTTACATTCTTAAATATCAAAAATATTAATTTGTACCCTCAAAGATATAAATATATATTAATGTGCACCGAAAGCTAACAGCAGTCAGTTTGTCATCTAAAACTAAATGTATAAATTACACCTAGACTCCTTTTGTCACTTAATCACTGGATCCCCTCATATTTAAAATATTACACCTACACTATATGACGTTTGTGCGCGTGTAACACATAACCCCCTATTATCAATATCCGTTAATATAACCGTTAAAAACATGATGTCATTCTAATAAACAACTATAATTTACATACTACTCTTTATTTTATGAGTCGTTGTACTATAAAGTTTAAAATTAATTTTATCCTTTGAATATCC